TTTGCTTGCTAAGCTGCCTTTGTTTAATCAAGAGGCTCCTCATGGTGCCTATGTTCCCTTAGGTCTGACTCATTGCAGGTACAATTTGATCTTATTTTTTTATCAAATTACTCAGCCCTCTTGTTTAGTCATTAAGTGTAAAATGGTATTGAACATACCTTATTTTTGGTAGGCAGTTTCCCATCCTTCCACTGGATCTCTGCACCTTTGGGTAGCCAATTTTGGCACGGTTCCCCTCTTTGGCTGAATTGTTTTCTGTACTGGCTGTGTTACAGAGAGAAACTCAGGGACTAAAGAGGCTCATTATCTCTCACACAGCACATGAGTGCAGCTTCCAGATATTGTGCACCTAAAGAAAAACCCCCAAAACCTCCACTGCAGATGAGCACTGACGAGTAGGGGTGGGAGAGGAAGAGGGGAGGAATGGATGAGTGACGTGGCTTCCTGGGGTGCTGGGGCCAGCAAAGGCATGCTGCTGGTGGCCTCCACGAAATGACTAGTGGGTTGCAGCATGGACTCCCTCTAGGATCCCTTAACTGAAATAGCAACTTGGGGTGTTCTCAGCAAGAGGAAACCACATACCTGGCCATTTTCCTCTTCTGAGAAATGGTGCGACAAATGAAACGGTAAAAACCAAACCCCTCAAACCTCAGTGAAGCAAAGCCTTTGCTACCAAAGCTTTCCAACGTAGTCTGATTTTGCTTCCTCCTCTCCTTCTTGTCTTTTTTTATCCCTTTTTCTTCCTCTTGAGTTACAAGGAAGAAACAAAATAGAAGAACCAGAAATACAATTTGCAGGGCTGATGATTCAGGGAGTAAGTATGCTTTAATTCACATTGTAATTGCAGTACATTGCTGGAAAAGAAAAATACAAAAGGATTAACAGCTGTGGCTGTGTACAAACCACCCTTGTGCCATCTGATCTAAAACTTGTGCACAAACTTGATGCTTTGTCTGCAACCCTGCCCAAATGAGCATCACAGAATCACAGAACGGTTGAGGTTGGAAGGGACTTCTGAAGGTCATCTAGTCCAACCACCCTGCTCAAGCAGGGACATGTCCTAGAGCACAGTTCCAGACAGTTTTTTAATGTCTCCAGAGAGGGAGATTCCGCAACTTCTCTGGGCAACCTGTTCCAGTGCTCAGTCACCCTCACCCAGTAAAGTTCTTCCTTATGTTCAGGTGGAACTTCTTATGCTGCAGTTTATGCCCGTTGCCTCTTGTCCTATTGTTGGGTGGCAATGAGAAGAGTCTGGCCCCGTCCTCTAGACACTCTCCCTTTAGATATTTATAAACATTAATCAAATCCCCTCTGAATCATCTTTTCTCCAGGCTGAACAGGCCCAGCTCCCTCAGCCTTTCCTCATGCGAAAGATGCTCCAGTCCTTTAATCATCTTAGTTGCCCTTTGCTGGACACGCTCCAGGAGTTCCATGTCCTTCCTGTACTGAGGACCCCAGAACTGGACACAATACTCCAGGTGGGGCCTCACTAAGGCTGAGTAGAGGGGGAGGAGAACCTCTCTCGACCTGCTGGCAACACCCTTCCTAACATAACCCACAATACCATCAGCCTTCCTGGCCACAAAAGCACATTGCTGGCTCATATTTAACTTGTTGTCCACCAGGAATCCCAGGTCCTTCTCTGTAGGGCTGCTTTCCAGGAGGTCAGCCCCCAACCTATACCTGCAGCATCCCTTGGCTACTAATGACAGGTCCTGCTGCATCCCACCCCAATGCAGTGACACAGGATGGAGCATAGGTCGGTAGATGCAGCTTTACCCCAATATATTGCAGCTCTCCAAATCCAGCTGAGATGTAGAGGGATTTGCCGTACACAGGCATTATTTATGAGCATGTTATAAAGTGCCAGGCCCATTGAATTGTATTTGACAAGTTGCTTCCCAATAGTGGTACCTGCCATTGGTACTGATGGACCAACCTCCAAAACTCACTACAGTTCACCAGTGGATGAAAACATCTCCCTCTGTTTTGTTCTGTTTACAGGCAATGCCTTGAGTTGTAGCACTGGATACTGCAGAGAAGGTAGGCACCCACCCAGTTGTTAAACTGGGTTTGGATGGTTGAAAAAACACTGTTTTAGATTGATAGTTGACAAAACAATGTTTTAGTCTACAATTATGCCTGAGTGGCTCCCATTGGCAGCATTTTCCAGAAGTTCAACTGTGTGATTTATCAATATCATTAGTCACTTGGGCTGTGTGGAAATGTTGTCCTTTAGTGACTGTGCACTTAATTCTTGTAGATCTTTTTTTGATTTGCTGGGAACTAGAGAGACCATCATAGCATAGCAGAAAGGAAGGGAAGAATGTGAATCACCGGGTATTTCAAGTGGTGGTTGCAGAATTATCTTCTTCCCAATTTATTCCCAAGCTTTCAGTGGCTTTAGAAAGTGCCTGAAGCTCTGGCAGTTCTCAGAAATGAAGCTGCTGTGCAACTGAAGCAGGAGAGCATGGATCTGACTGACAGGCAAGGAGGAGGTCTGTAATTCACCAGAAGTCTATGCAAAGACAAACAGATCAGGAACTGCCTGAATAAATGCACTCACAAAAATAAAATAAGCAGTGGGGTTAATGAGTGGACCTCACATTCCTGCCTGCCTTATGTGACTGAATCACCTGCTGCTCTTGGCTTGGCCCTGGAGGAAGGGGGAACAGAAGGGGATGCTGCACCAGTTGGATGCACATGCAGACACCTTCACAGTTGGGCTGCGAAGGCGGTCCCTGCATGCCCAGGATCCCTGAGGCATCAGGAGCTGTCAGGGGAGAGGCAGAGCCTGAGGAGCAGCCAGCGTCTGTGGTTCTTTATCTCACCTCACCAGCTTCTTTATCTCACCTCACCTCACCTCTTTACCTCAACAAGTAGGAGATGCTGTAAGCTATTTGAAGTCAACACATTTTTTCAACTGCAAAAGCCATCTCTCTCCTTTGCTTGGATGTTGTTAAGACTCAAGGTTTGCTCTTTATTGAAAGGTGTTTGCTGCAGCAGCACCCAGGTTTACAGGGTTGTTTGGAAGAACTTCGGAAGGAAGATTAGAGTGTTTCTGACAAAATAAAATGGTTAAAGCTGACAAGAACATTTCCTATGAGCAGAAAAATACATCAACGGGACTTGCAGTTCTTCTTTAAATCAAGTGCAGTTCATTTTCTGATCACTAAGTGGTGAAGTTCAGCTGTGATTTCATCAACAGAGTCTGCAAGCTTGTGGGAAGTTCTTCTGTTAATCTTTTCTTTCAAAATTGTAGCAGAGCTAAGGAGACAATACCAGCAAAGCCTGGAATGAATCTTGACATCCCTGCATACATCACTCGCATCCTGGTAGGAGGCTTTGGGGCAAAAGGCTGTAGTTTCAGCAAATCTTCAATTATTTTCTAAGTCTTGGAAGTTCTGAGAGGCCGATAATGAGAAATTAAATGTTTGCTTGTGAATCTCATTTCAAGGCTGGCAGTTTCCCCTCTGGCTTGGGCCAGGGCCTTGTTCCACAGCCTGTTGGAGCTATTTGTGTTGTTTAATAGCTGTGAAATGGTCTGGCAAACCTCACAGGTACCATTTTTCATTGATTTCACATTTTTGGTCAGACCAGAATGCCCTTCCAGAAATCTTGCAGGAAAATGCAACTATGAAAACAACTCAAGGAAAGGAAAATGAGATATGATACCTCAAAGGAAAAAGACAATAGTATGAAACAATCACAGCTTTCAGAGTAACAGGAATGAATTATTGAACCTACTCAAAAGCACGTCCAAAATGTTGCTTTAGAGGAATGCTGATACTTGAGCAGTTTCTATTTTCAGATAATTGATTAGCACTTGAGAGGAGAGAAGGAACTGTCTACGTGTAAGCATGTCTGAGAATTTTTTTTGTCGCATTATGAGTTGGGCCCATTGGCTCCCCCAATTATTTACATGATTCAAAGTTAATCTGTGCAGTGATTCAACTAAAAGAAAACATTTTTAATGCAACATATTCATTTGGAGTAGTGAGAATTTGAAAAAATATAAACCACCTAATCAGAAAGTAGAAACATAAAACTTAGTTTACCAGTACAGGTTTGATTAGGAAATGAGATCTTGCTGGCTGGTTGCCCCACTGCGTGGTGTGTGAGTGACCCATGTTCTAAGGATTTTGTTGGTTTCAGCAACGTGATCAGAGCCAGCAGAAAAAGAGAAATGCAGGCGTAAACATGACGAAGCAAAAAAGGCACAAGAACAATGACTCAAAACTGCTGTGTGAGCTATTTTTGTGTCATCTTAGGTGAGGACAGAAAGGAAAGGGTGTGCATGTAGGATGATGGTCCTGTCTTTTCGAGGGACAGGGCTGGAGAAGGAGTACAGACCTGCAGAAATGGGGGCAACCTCAATGGAGGAGAGACCAGGGCTCTGCCTTTTCCCCAAGGCAACATAAAACCTAGGTCCTGAGTTGGGTGCTTGGCTTGCTCTGGTCTCCTTACTTGGGAAAAGAGTTGCAGCAGCAGCAGCTCTTGGGTCTCCCCTGATTTACACGTGGGGTGCAGACCCCTAAGTGGGTCCTCTAAGTAACATGTTGGGGACATTTGTACACGTTGGGGACATTGCAGCATGACTATTGATCTAAGCTCCTTTCCCTGAGCCCAGGTCAGGGCCACAGTGGTCTTTCCTCCTGCCCCACACGAACACTGGATGTTCAACCAGCTTGGAAATGTGGGCTTGTATTTAGGCACTTCCAAAAACCTATCCTTATTGTAAAGGCACTTGTGAAAAACCCAACCCTGTAACCCTGTTGCCCCGTCCATCTAGCAGCCCGGCTGGGAAATCTTTGGTTTCTGGCTCTGACAATTGTTGTCGTGTCCCCTGACATTTTTGTTCTTCAGCTGAGTGCTGGAGGGGCAGGAGGTTTTTACGAGGTGCCTCTTACCGTATGTGCAGGGATGGGGAATGTCCCTAGAGCGAGAGCGAAGTGTATAAAAAAGGGGAAGCTGCACTCGTTCAGCACACAGCTAAGATGATGGTCGCTTGTCTGCTCCTCTCCAGCATCTGGACCATCGTGTCAGGTAACTCCCTTGTCTGTCTGTCTGTCCGTATTGTTACTGTAATGGTGTTAGGGACCTTGGTGGCCCTGCTAGCCTGCTGCTGGGCTGCTTGTCACTGCAGTGTCCTCCATTGCTCCCCAACCCCGAGGTGAGCCAGGGGTGACAGGACACTTGTGGCACTGCACACAACTGCAGCACTGGTGTGGGGCTTCAGAGATGTCACTCCTGGTGGCCTTTGACAGCATCTTCTCCTTATTGTAGCACCCGTGCGTTTATAAGCTGCAGACAGGTGTACAAATGCATTTACAATTTGCAAATCATAAACCAGGTGAATGTCCAAATGCTCCCAATCACCTGTATGAGTGAAGTTTGGTTTCTTCTCCTGTCGTGGCTGGGATTGGAAGCAGAACATGGCACTGATTTGCTTTAGCCAGGATAGAATTATTTGTAGTATTATGGTGCTTGTAGGTGTCCACTCAGACTACTAGAAGTGTGGGTGCATCACATTTGGTTTTGTAATTAAAAATCATGTAGAAAAGCCTGAATTTGCTTCAAAATAGCTATAGTCATGGTTTTTATTCTACCTATAGCACTACTGAGCTCTGAAAAGCAAAATGACTGGCACAGCTTCACAGCTGACTTCTCGGTCTTCAGCAGAGATCTGTCTGGCCATGGCCACAGCCCTGGAGAGGGCAGGACCAGAGTGAGCTATGTCAGGCGGATTAAACGAGTGTACCTCTGGGGACTGCTGACAGCCTCACTCCTCTTTAAAACCTGCAATGATATTTCCTTTTCATAAATTGAATTATATGTTTTCAGTGCTGTAACTGTCCCTGCTGAGATCTCCCTTCCATGATGATGTACACAAATAAACTTTAAACACTGTCATCCTAAGAGGACTGTGGAGATGAGCTGTCAAACATGGGAGCATCCATTTCCCTTGCCTGTCCTCTTAAAAGCTTTTCCACATGTGTCTCTGAATTGGAAGAGGAGACTGATTTTTTTTGTTATTATTTTTTTTCCTTTTCCCCAGGAACCTTTGATACCATGGCACTTATGCTATGAAATTTTCCATCCATGGGCTTTCAGCAGGGTCTCAGCTCCTTCTCAGCTTCATGGCCTCAAGCATGAGACAGGAGGACAGATGTAGTTTGTCTCCAGTCCTCCTTACCTTGCATTTTTCTTTTTGTTTTTGGGTTTCTTGTCAGTAGCTGACAAGTGTGGAGGGACGATGGACAGTGACACACAGCATCATTTTTAGCAGCTTTACTGATTTGCTTCTCTCTGTGCTGCAGGAGGGCTCAGAGAGCACTAATGCACTGGTGGCTGTCTGGGCATTAGAATGGCTGAACGTTTAGGGAATGCCTCCATGGGTGGATAACAGTCTTAGCAGGCAGAAATCAGTCACTCTGACACTGGAGCTGCCTTTCTTGGTGGCTCTGTCTGCAGCACAGGTATCAAGCTGATGAGACATTTTGTGTGAGAGGTGTCAGGTCCAACAAAACTCTTAGGGTAATTATTTCAAGCTGTGTTTTCATTTTCTCCATAGTTGAAGAGGTAAAGAGACCCCCTAGAGTTGTTCTGCCCAGGAATGAGGATGAGGGAATGGAGGAGGGTATCTGTTGGGTGTGGGTTGCAGAAGGGTGATGAGAAATGCTGAGTGCAGCACTTGCTTCTCCTCCAGGTTCTGTACAGGTGATGCACAGCAAGGTCCAGTCGGTCCAGGCAGGAGAAAATATTACTTTTTCATGCCAGTTGGTCACAAAAGAAGATGTGCTACAGGTGACTTGGCAGAAGGAGACGGATGGAGCTGAAGACAACATAGCGACTTACAGTACAATGAACGGCCAAAAGATAGCGAAGGACTACGTCAGCCATGTGAGCTTTGTCCACAGTGAGTTACAAGCCTCGGCCATCTCTCTTCGTAGAGTCACCCTCCAAGATGAAGGATGCTACAAGTGCATTTTCAACACGTTTCCCTTGGGGGCTGTCACCGGCAGGATGTGTCTCAAGGTTTATGGTAAGGCATCACAATCGCATACGGGCTGTCATCTGAGGACCAAGTCATTTTCTCTGGGAAAAACCTTTCCTGACCACTGGTCATTGCTAAATTGCTACGGGAAAGCTTCCTCCTTGGCTTTCCCTCCCTCTTTGGTTTTACCTCTGATGGGAAACCAGCGTTCAAAAGTTCTTTAATTTTCTTCCCCTTTAAGTCAACAACAGTGAGATCCCAAAGCTGACGTGTAACCCATTGACTTCCTCCAAGTTTCCCTGGCCGTGTGCTCTGCCAACAGCTGGCTTGCCACAACCATGAACCCTGTGCTCCTCTGCTTCCTTTCACTGCTGCTCTCGCCTCCTAAGCCTGGAAATCAGGCACTTTTTTCTCTTACTCTTCCTTTGGTTTTAACAAAACTCAAAGTATTCAAAAGGCAAAGAGGCATCTGCTTGGCCAGAGATTCTGGAAGCTGATTTTGGAGCTATAGTAAAGATGACAATAGTTAGGCTGGGCTCAGGAAAAGGATGCAAAAAAAAAAAAAAGGCTGAAATACCTTTTTTTTTCTTACTCTGCCTTTGGTTTTAAAAAAATTCAAAGTATTCAAAAGGCAAAGAGACATATGTTTGACCAGAGTTTCTGGAAGCTGATTTTGAAGCTATAGTAAAGATGACAGTAGTTAGGCTGGGCTCAGGATGCAAAAAAAAAAAAAAGGCTGAAATACAGCACAGCTCATGGGCTTTGCCACATGAACATCTTGTGCAAGTCAGCTTCAATTAGCTTCAAGAAGAGAGTTAAAACAAATCATGAGTCGAGGTGGCAATATTTGACACCTCCATATGAAATCATCTGCTGGCAAGTACAAGCTGAAATATAGACAAATAGTTGAACTCAAAAGGAACTAGAGTGAAAAGCTGTTTAGCTCTTGAGGGAAGGTCTTTGTTTTTTGCCTGTGAGGAAGCTGAGACGTTAAACACACCCCAAGGACACCCTGTTAGCTCCTGACTTTCTCCTTGTTGACTCTGCTGTGGGGACGTTGGCCAAAGATTGTGTCCCATGTAGAAAACATCAATGTCTGGGACCTGCTGCTGGTGGTATGACCCCTGCAGAGTATTTTGTTTATCCTTGGTACCTTCTGCTGACAAAGACACAGACACATGCCCACACACATACCCAGGTGTCCAGGAGTCCTTGTGTGGAAGAAAAGATGGCCCTGGCTTATGGGGAAAGATGACTTAAGCAATAGGGGAAGAGGAGGGAGAAATACAAGGGAAAACCAAGCCTGGAACAAAAGTTCTTTTTCCTCTCTCTTGGGAAAGCAACTTGAGTAGAAAAGAGAAATTAGGAGAATTCACTCAATATTTGAGATACGAAGAGGAAGGTAAACACTCAGCCCTGAGTCACTCAGAGTGTAAACACTGATTTATACATTACAGGAAAATATGTAAGTGCCTTGCCAAGGGATCCCTTTCTCTTTTATCATGTAATTCTAAACATGGAGCTACATTTGTTTTGTTTTGTTTATTTTTTTTTTTATCCAAGAGAAGGAAATATTGCCCAAAATCACCAGGCTTGTGGCTATGATTCATCCTTTAGCAGAGCTCTATTAAAAAAAATAATAAATGTTTTTCTGTTTCTACACACAAGCATCTCTTTCTGTTCTCCGACAAAAACCCATCAGCTGAGAAGGGTTTAATTTCTCTCACTGGCAGGCATGAGCTTGCTGCTCCTGCTCCAGCATGGGCTCATGGGGCCACTCAGCCAGGGGCTGGTTCAAGGAGATCATGGTGGCCTCTTTAGAATATCCTGGAGGGTCACCATGTATAAACTGTTTGTCACTGTGCCAGAGGATTTTGGTTCACATATGGCATATTTCATTGAAGCTAATTTATGTGATGCTACTTAAAAGCCTCAGCCTTACTCCCTTATTCCCCAACTCATAACGATGGGAACAACTTGTCTGAACAAGCCCAGAGGACTCCCTGGGCTGGAATGTGAAGCCATCAGGAATATCCCGAGGTTCAGGGATTCAGGGTGAGATGAACAAGCCAGAGTCACCATCTGAAAATGAAACGCTGCCATGTCTTTGCCCTCAAGAGGGGACTGCCAGGGAGTTCACAAACTGGTAATTGCCCAATTACAACAGCATTTGCAAGAGGGGCTGTTCCAGGACAGGCACTGTGGCTGCATGACGAGGGGAAGTGAAACTGCGTAAGAACTGGATACAACACTGTGAAAAAAGACACAGGTATGACTGGAGGAATCTCAGACCTGCCTGGCTGAAAACAACAAGTCCAAGAAGCAGCAGAAATTTCCTACCCTTTAGCAAAACCCATTTTGGAACAAAATAATTTCAAGAGTGCTTGGCAGGTCTCTTTTGAATAGCCTGCTCATCTTCCCACTCCATTTTGCTTTGGAAATATTTTGCTGACCTTCATCACCAAAGAGGATGAGAATGAGACCCAGGAAGGGGATCAAGTGAGCAGATATGGAGAGTGTCACATGGGAATGGGCAAGACTTGCTGGGTATCAAAATTCCCCAGGAATTTTCTGGTCCATCTTCAGAGACCTTCTGCTTGTGTTGTAGATGACACCATGTGCCTGGAAGTTTCGAGCACAGTGGAAGAAATGCACAGGGAAATCGAGGCATGGTGCTGCTGGTGAACACCCACATGGCTGGAAAAGGCTTTCTGCCATCACGAGTCATACTAGAATTCCTAAAAAAAATTATCAGTCTCTCAGACTCCACTGTCAAGCCTTTAAACACAAAAAGACCATCATGACCTGACAGTCTCCCTTTAATTACAGAAGGCCATTACAGATAATCAAAGCTGATGTACTTAATTAAGAAGTCCCTTTTTCTCATATACTTCATATACACAGCTCGAATATGGGAACGTTTGCATTACCACTCTGCAATTACTAAAGAAAACACTTGCACACAACATCTCTTGCTGGTACTTTTTCACTGGAAACAAATATTTTGATGAAAGACAAAAGAAGCAGTTAAGTGTGTGCATCAAACATCAACAGTGGGCTCAAGCAGTGTAGCAGGACTTTACTGCAGAAACAAGCACTTGTGGGTTTTGACTGTGCATCTATTACAGACACTTGCTAAAGAGAAGCTCAAACCTACAGGATTTTTTCCACATGATAATCGTTCCTTGGGGTCTAATGTGGGAAGAGAGAGGACTGCTTAGTCAGAAGAAGAGCAGGTGTAGAGTGTATGTGTTCCCACCAAGATACTAAGCAATTTTTCTCATCCCCTCTGGAAATATCTCTGACAGTTTTCCTTTACTGTTTTTGGATGTTGTAACCCAGTATTTGAAGTTAAGAGTGTAGGTGGTTATGTTATTTTTATGCATCCCGTGAGCGAAAGAAGAAGTTCAGAGATCATCTATTAATCAAAACATAGGCTGTTTGTGACACTTATCTTTTCATACATGGGAGATTTTGAGAAGTTCCAGCTGAAATCCCCCTACACACTTTCCTTGTTGTTCTCAGAGCAACACTAGTGGGTTTAATCAACTCTGTGAGATTTGAGTTCTGTCTATGGGTGATGCAAAAAATGAGAAATACCCTTTTTCTTTTTTTTTTTTTCTAGGCAGGCACAACCATAGTAAAAAAATGAGATCTAGCCATTAACAAAACAAAACAAAACAAAACAAAACTGAGGGTATACAAAGTCTTGCTCCCACCCTCTGGCAGTTATGGCTTGGACGATGCAGCAGCTTCCTGAGGTACATCTGGAATTGTACCAGGACGTTATAGACAACATTAAGCATCTAGAACAAGCCCCCTTTCACAGGATCATTTGTTGTCTTCTACACCTCATTCAAGTCCAAAGCTTCATTTGTCTCCCAAAAGAAAAAAGAATATTTTTTTCCTAAGAAGAATAAACAGATTTTTTTAATTATTATTTAAAAGTAGGATCACTAAATGGTAGTGATATGTTTGCTAGTGTTGGGTCAAAAATTAATTTCAGCATAAATATTGCACTGACCATTGTTATTTTTGCTGTGTAAATAGTAATATATACATGGAGTGCTACTAAATTTAGTAATTGAAACATTTTCAATCAGAGGGTATTCATATTAACTCAGACTTGAATGAAACTAGAATTGCCACTGCACTTAAATGGTTAAAAAAAGCAATATTCTCAGAAACAAGCAGCTGTAAGTAGAGTGTGGTTTGGAGCCCTATGCCACCAGCTCATGAACTGAAGTAGAAGTTAGCTGGTGAGCTGCCATACGGACACCTGGGGATTGCACTCCCAAATGGAGCTACATGCCTTTATAGTCTTGGCCTGAGCAAACAGAGCTAGTTAGACTGCCTTTGAGTAGGGGCTTGGACTACATGACCTCCAAAGGTCCTTTCTGACCTAAATTATGGTATGATTTTATAGCCAAGGAATAAATAGGTAATTTTCCACAGAGGACAGATGTGTCCTTATGTGTTCAGATCTCCCCTGGCATTCTACCCATCCTCCTGCACTCCTCCCCTTTCTTTGGTCCTTGCAAATACAGTTAGCATAAATAGGAATCAAGAAGCAGGCTTCACGTGAGTGAGTAAGCATGAATGATGCCTGCTGGTCACCCTTCTTGCTGACTAAGACTAAACGTGACAGCATCCGCAAATCTCCTAGGGTGAGAAGGAGTTCAGAACAGATGACCTTTAATAAAAGCTTTGAGGGATACCATAACGCCCCCAAAACCCGACACAAGAGGGAAGAAGCACAAGCACAAAACCTCCACAGGTGAAGTCCTCTGGTGTAACCACACACAAATCCACTGTTACTGTCTTGCATAGAGAGATGTATTTAGTCCTTTGGTCCACAAGCCTGCACATCTCAAACAGTAATAGAGCTAATCCTGCAGATATATTTAAGGGAAAAGGACAAGAATTTGGATTCATTGGAGCAGTTCAGCCCTTTCAGAGAGAGGAGGACATACGGTTTCATGGTTTCACTACCTGTTGCTTTTTACTCATCCATAATCACCACTTCTCAGTTGGGATGCTGCACTGCTGCTGTTAATAACAGAATTGAAACATGGGCTCTTCTACCATCTCGTCCTTTGTTTTTGCCAAACTCTTAATTTCCAGTCTGCTGCCTGATCACTTTCACGTTTATTTGTCACTGCCAGGGCTTTGGGGACGTGGAGGCAAGATTAGATAACAAGGTTGTCCTCCAGGATAATGGTCAATACAGATGCTCTTTGCTCAAATGTGAGCAGAAGGTAAAGGATTTTTTGTCACTTTGTGTTTTGCAGCCATCTCAGACCCCAAAGTGGAGGCTAAACTTATACCCAGTCCCGACAAAGCTGAGGACTCTGAGAAAGTGGTGGGGATAAGCTGCTCAGCAACAGGGAAGCCCGCTCCAAAAATCACCTGGCACCTTCCAAGCATCTTGCAACAGAAACCAAGGGAATACCACATCAGGCTCAGCAACCAGACCGTGACTGTCATCAGCAATTTCACCCACACCCACTCCAAAATCCTCCAGGAGTACCCCATTTCCTGCATGATCCAACACCCCTCTCTAAACATGACCCTGGTCCTGCCCATGGACAGCCTGGCGCAGGGTCAGTATGCAGCCCTGCTCCTGGAGTGGGGAGAAGACTGTGAAATGTCTTCTGGGGGTAGATCAGGAAACTCCTTCAGGAGTTGGGGGTTAGGTGGGGGAGGCACCTGGAAAAGCAGCCAGAACTGGGCTAGGGAGGGATGGTGGAGGTGCTGGGGAGACTTCCACACACTCTGGGTGGTGACATAAAATATCTTACTGCTTGTTGGGTGCCCTGCACACCGTGACATGCCCCAGCCTCCCTCTCTCTGCTGAGGACATGTAGGGTTTCCTTGTCACGTAGCCTTGTGCACCAACACAATGTGCCAGCTTTGGGTGGTTCAGAGGGCTGAGTGCCACACGCCCAATCGTGACACCAGACCTCAAGCATGGGACTGCTGGTGGTGCTGCTGGGATGTGTGCTGGCATGTGCTCCCAGTGCCCCCCCAACCACCCCACCTCGTCCCACAGACTGGCCAAGGGATGTCTGAAAGGGGTTTGAGGTTGTTTCTTTTTCTTTCATGCACAAACTGAGTACCTGCTGCTTTCTCCACAGGTCCAGACAGCAGTGTGGCACCGGCCATTGCCATTGCGGTGGGGGTGCTGGTCCCCTTGACTTCCTTCCTTCTCGCCTGTCTCCTCTGCCGCTGCCTCAGGCACCTACGTGACCTGGAGAGGAACCCAGCCTGGCCATGCTGGGTAGGTCCACCTTTCCCCGAGGTGCCGCAGGGCTCAGCCCCACCAGTCGTGAGGCTCAGCGCTGGGACCCAGCTCGGCCCGGCCATCCTGGGGCTGGCTGCATGCTGCCCAACCTGGGCTGCACCCAGGGAGGAGAGGGACGGAGGGATCAGCCCCCAGTCACCCAGCTGAGCAGCAGCACGCTTGGAAGGGGGAAAGCTGAAGGTGCTCAGCCAGGCCCTTAGGTACCCAACAGTGATGGCAGCTGGAAAACATTCACTTTCTGAGGGACAAGACTGCAGGGGAAGCGTCCCTCTATTGCTATATTTATGCACAAAATAGTTGTGCAAGCAGTGGCCGTATCTTCACACCATTCTTCTGCATCTCCTAAAATAACCTCCCTCCAGCACGGCCAGTGCAGCTCGTGGAGGAAGCAGCTTTGAGGACATGTCTCAAGCAAAACAATGTGTTAGAGGAGGAGCATTGCCTCTGTGCCAAAAGCCCAAGGTGTCACGCCACGGCAGGGGTTGGAGTGCTGCTGGTTGTCCACCAAGGCTGTCCTGGCACAGGGGGTGAAGAAAGCAAGCTTGAGTTGGGGGTAAACTGAGTGAGGTGGCATTGTTTTGGAAAATTGCAGCCTGATTTTGTGCTGAAGGCACCTCCACCTCCTTGTGGGATATGCCCAGAGTGTGCACCCTTACTTTTGGTGGGTGTTTCAAAGACAATAAGCAGTGGGAGGAAATGAGATACGTGTCTTCCATGGTCACCATGCCTCTAGGTCCAAGCTGATGCCTGCAGTGGTGGTTCCAAGGTGAAAACTTTAGTCTCAGCTGGCACAGAAAGATGCAAGGACCCATTTGGTAATGCACACAGCCCAGATCTTTACCCCTGCGCTTAAAATATCCATATATTTTGAAGAAGAAAAAAACCAAAAAACCAAAACCAAACAACTTTTCTTCCATTAGGTCCTTCCCGCCTGTACCAGGGCCAAGAAGTGTGGGCAGTACAGCATTGCGGGCAGGCGGGCTCCGGCAGTGTCCCCCAGCCCTGCTGTGATGCTGAACACCTGAGCAGCTGCCCCCCCTACGCATGCGAGAGAGAAACTACTTACAATGGCACCTCAGGCTTCCAAGCAAACCTGCTGTGACTTCACTCCAAGGGAGATATAAAAAAGGGACAATTTATACTGAATATTTATTTTGTTGCACTCTACTGTTCCGTTTTGTAGAAAAAAAAAGCTGTAAAGTATTTATTTGAGGCTCAGACTGGCTGCGTGGATCTGCATAATGAAACTCATGTTTTGTATTTTCTGGGGTTTTCAAAGTTTTGTTTATTCCTTTCTGATATTTTAACATTGCAAGCTCAAAACTGTGTAGGGGACTGTCTGAAACAGGGCAGCATTTTGTAGGATTGCTGGCCTGAGAGGCATTGCTGATGGGTCAGAGGAGACCCCTGACAGGAGCCAGGGTGCAGAAGGTCCGTGGACCAGCCCAGTGCACTGCTGTGAGCTTCAGGGGTTTGAATCTGTTCCCTAAAGAGCCCGAGAGATCTGGCCAAGACTGCAACCAGCCTGAACTTGTAGCCCAGGCACCAGGAGCAACAGGCTTCAAGCCAGAAATCATCAGGCATGAGGAAATTGCCAACTCCAACTTCCACCACCCTTTCCTAGAAAGTAATGCTAAAGCAAAAGACACACAAAGATTTCCTTCTCCTCTCTTCTTCTTCTTCTGTAGTTTCCACAGCCCCCTTCTTAATTTCCCTAATCCATCGCAGCTGCCTTGTGTTTCCAGCCATCCCACCTGCCTGCAGGAGGAAGCAGGGAAATAAAAGGGCAGTTGGAGGGGCAGAGGGTTTCTTGGTGGTTTTGTGTATGTCATGGTGCAGTGGCAGGTGAGTGTAGTGGGAAGCAGGAGGCTGGTGGGAGCAAGGGGGTGGGTGCTGCATGTGAGTAGGTGTGTTACCTTTTGCTAAAATTCATTCCTTTAACCCATAGGTCAGATCTCAGCAGTTCTCCTGTAATTCTCTGAATCCCACCATATGCTCATGAAATACCTTATGGTGGCCTTCCAGTACCTGAAAGGTGCCTGTAAGAAAGCTGGGGAAGAACTGTTCACAAGGGCATGGGGCAATAGGATTAGAGATAATGGTTTTAAACTAGAAAAGGGTAGATTTCAGTTGGGTATTAAGAAAAAGCTCTTCAATATGAGGGTGGTAGATCATTGGATCTGTTTGCTCAGAGAAATAGTGGAGTGAATAGTGAATATCCCTGGAGATATTCAAGGTCAGTCTTGATGGGGCTCCGAGCAACCTGCTCTAGTAACTATGTCCCTGCTCACTGTAGGGGGGTTGGACTTTATGACCTTTGAAGGCCTCTTCCAACCCAATACATTCTATGATTCTATGAAATCTTTCTCTGTGGACTCAGGGAAGCAGATATGTGCTGCTGTGGTCTTGTGGGCAGCACAGAGATGGATGGTGCAGACTGTCCCCTCACCTCCCGGCTTCCCAGAGCAAGTGCATGTTCTCTGGTTTCTCCTCACCCATCTATTTCAAGTTTATATCCCAGATGAATCGGGCTGAGTTGTAGCCAGAAGGCCAATCAACCTAAAATGAAAGTGAGTGGGTGAGTTGAGAATGAATAAAATGCTTTTTTTGGGCTCCTTAATGCTTAGTAAAAGTGCAGCTGGTGAGTGCGGGGAAAGGGGAACCAGTTGCAACCGTCACAATCAGGAATTTTTTTCCTGAGCCCCATAATTGTCAAAGGAGGAAGCCACATTTTGCCCAAACTTTCCTGCTGGTGCAGCTTAATTTCCTCCTCCTCTTGGGGGGAAGAGGCCAGGTGGAGAAGCAGGTTTTCCCTGGGGTAGGGGAGTGGTTTCTGGGGGGTAGGATGTGGGCGAGAGGGCAGAGTTCAGCCCCTGGCAGTCACTTCTCCTGAAGAGGTTGCGTAGGGTCAGCCCTTGCCACCTATCAGGGACTATGCTTGCTCTTCAGGGGGTTTTTGGAGAGGGTTTTTTTGAGCTATAGAAGATGGTTTCCACTAATGTTTAGACTAATGGGTCTTTTTTTAAAAGAGAGACTAATGGGCCTTTTTTAAAAGAGAGAAGTGAGTCGCAGAAATAGGGAGTCTGGACATGGATGATGAGAAGGATTTTCAGAGGGAAGAGAGAAAGGCATGAAGCTGGCAACTGGCAAGAAACCTTTCTAAGCACAGGAAGATGGCAGATACCTATTATTATTTTCTACAAGCTGATCACCCTAAGTGAGGGAAAGCAGAGTTTGGAGTAATGAAAATATCTCTTCATGTTGGGGACTGTAATTTCTTTTATTATTTAACCAAATGTTGAATTGTGAAAAGCTTTTGTAGGTTTCTGCTTACGACCATGTTGGGACTAGGGATCAAGGGAAACAGGAGGAGATGGTAGCTTACAAGCAAAATCCTGTACAAGAAAGGAAGATGTTACTAATAAATTAGGTTTTTTTGCAGTATCAGAATGAGAACAGCCAATTACATTTAAAATTACATTTAAATTTTAAATTACATTTAAAACCTTCCTACTGTACAAAGCCAGCTACTAAAATGCAATGCCATAAAATGCTGTATGCTAGTGGTGTGGAGTTTGGCTGCACGCAGCAAAGGAATGAGTGTAAGCTTGTATGCTATGTATAGTTAAGTGGCTGTTAGCTGGGGGGAAAAAAAGTACAAAATAGATACAAACCACCTCTCAGGGAACAAACAAGCATGTGACTGAGGGGATCAGATGGTTTTGCTGTGGGTGAATAACATCCTAACTGCTGTTCTGAGGTTTCTTTGTGATTATCTTCTGCTTATCTGCCCCGTTATTTTCACTATTTGTCAGTAATTTTTTGGAATTTATATTTCAGATGGGTTTATTCAGATACTTAGTATTTATTTTAATAACTAGTATTTAGGCTATGAAATGTTGCAAATTTGGAATAGGTCTTTCTTGAAAAGCAAAATTAAAACTGGTAAGAAATTGAGGTGGAATGGACTGCTTTGTTTTGCTGTTGTAATGTGAGGACTGCAAAGCAGGTTAACTTTGTCAGTAAATGGAAGCAGAGTATCTTTTCAAAGTTGATTCTGTGGGAATGTTCTGAGCTACTATTGCCACCACCAAAAAAGAAAACTCAGAAAAAGCCTAGTTTTTTAAGGTGTTTTGCCTGTCTCATGGCTGGGCAGTTGTTGGTCTGACCCAGCCCTGCCCTGTGACCACCTCCTGCCTGTACACCGTCAAAGCAACTTGTCCAGCCCAGGGCACCATTTTTCCTAACAGATGGAAAGAAGGCAAGTGGGAATGCCACCTTCCAGGTAAAACTGGCTCTGGATAAAGTGTGTCTCTCTCTTGCAAAGCAAATGGGCTTATTTACCATGCACCTCTCAGCTCTGAGATCCTTTGATCTTGACCATAGCCAGCTTGGGTTAAGCTTTTAACTCATGTAGGACCTTAAGAGAGTGTCATTTTAAACTGTGTATTTCATATTTATGTATATATTGTTATATAGCAAAGGATCCTCAGGCTGTATAAAATGCCCAGGTTCCTGTTTTGGTGTGGCAGGCTGTTTCAGAGATGTACTGTGTTGGTATTTTTCTCTATGTACCAGGTTGCTGGTTCTAAAACCAACAAGATGTAAAGGAATCACTCCAGCAGCTCTGGCTGAAGATGCAACTGAAATGTAGCTGAAGTGCTGCCCTTGGACATTTTACAAGTCACGGGTAGAAATAAGAAGAATATTCTTTTTCCAAAACCACTGCTGGCAGAGGCATGGGACTAAATTCCCACAGTGAAAAGGAATTTTGTTTTGGTGACAGAAGATTGAAAGCATCATTCATAATTTCTCTGTTGCATGACCCTGGGGGAATGATTCATCTACTAAATACCACACCAGTAAAATTTCTTACAAACTCAGACATGGAAGAAAATATAACCTATTGTTTTCAACAATGAGCCTCTGCAAATCATTTGAAGTAAGAGAATTGCACTAATTGAGCGCATTTTTCACTCTCATAAATGAGACTACCGAACCATGCAGATAAAAATCAAGCATATTTTTGTTTTCACTCTTAGTATATCAGAAATTACTTGTACTTTGGAAGCCATACAAAGGGCCTTCTCATATCTCCACTGCTTTCATCCTTGCTCATATAAAGATGCGTGTGAAAGAAGCACTGAACTCTTGTCCAAGCTTTTTGCGGATGGACTTTGTTGTAGGCTGCTTAGCTTTTTGGGGGTGGGGGAAAAAAAAAGCCACCTGAAATTTCTGGAAAGCCTGAGAGAATCCTCAGTCTAAGACCTAGTCACAATGCAAACATAGTTTTAACTTCCATATCTTGTTAGAAGCTGTAGTTTTTAATATGAACCACTCTAAAAAGAAAGAAAAGGCAGCTTGCTGTTTGAGCACTTGAAATTGTACATAGAAGATTAAGATACAATGAAAAGCTTGCAGAAAAAAACCTCCACACCTTTAGACTAAAACTTAGATATTTTTTTTTCCAGTCAGAATATTTTATTTTATATTATCCTGAAAATAAATCAGAGAATGTCCATCATCCCATCATAAACACCTAGGGTTTATGTTTGAAGCTTAAAGAAACCAATTTGTCTCAGAGATCTTGAGCCTTCTTTGTCTACAGGAATGTAGTTATTTTCCTAAGTGAGATTATGATTACACTGTCAGATGAGTAAAAAGTAATATCTTTGCTAAAGGTTTTTCTCTAAATACCAGAACCTATACACAAAGAGGAGAAAAGAAGGAATGTACTAGTATAGTTTTCTGAAGATCTTTGCATATCTGATTCAGAACAGTTTAATTTTAAGGTTATTAAATGTAGGCTGTCTCCTTTCTAGAAAGGATTTATAGATAGAAGCAAGGTGTCAGTTCTGTACTCAATACTTCTGTATTTACCTCTGTATGTAACTTCAACATTTCTTTCTGAAAATATTTATTGTAAAAATTTCTGACCATGTCAAGACAACCAGAAAGCATTCCTCAGAGTTTAGCTTAGGATGCACAGGGAGACCAAGACCTCGCTGCTTCGTCAACAGAAAGT